ATTGGGTTTGAGTGGTTGCCATGATAGATGAATTCTGGGCATCATGGAATTTGTGGTTGCCGGAATTCTGGGTGGCATGGAATTTGTAGTTGCCAGAATTCTGGGCATCGTGGAATTTGTAGTTGCTGGAATTCTGGGCGTTGTGGAATTTGTAGTTGCCAGAATTCTGGGCATTATGAAATTTGTAGTTTCCGGAATTCTGGGCATCGTGGAATTTGTGATTGCCAGAATTCTGAGTGTTATAGAATTTGTGGTTGCCACAGTAGGATAAATTTCTGTGGATATGGAATTATATGTTTCTCAAATATCATGGTGTTTAAACCTAATATGTTTCTTAATGGTATCTGTTAAATATGGTTTAAAATATTTTTTCGCACATATTTTACATTGAATATATGAATCGTTAATAGATTCAAAATGTTCTAACGCAAAATTCTGTCTTGTTTTTTTATACCGCATCAAAACCATGTACCTAAAAAAAACAAATCATACAAATAAAAATCCATTCGGTCAACATAAACTAAATGGTGAATACAATAAAAGAAATAAAATTACTCACTATCTAAGTGATTCATTATCTGATAGGATATCACTATCCATCTTTTTTTTTCTTTTTGACATGTTCATCTATAGCAGTTTCTTTTTTTTTCTTAGCAGTTATGGCCCTAGCATAGAAACGAAACTTGGCATTGATAGCCTCAATAATCTCCTTGTGCTTCTTAGAGAGAGAAGGTGTAAGGTCGATTAGCTTGGCAAAATTGGTGACATCATAAGGTTGCCACTCACTATTATTCACAGACTCGACACACTTGGGAATCTGCTCACCAATAAAGGAAAAGTAAATAGCGCAATTATAAGGGCACTCCTTCCTATCAGGAAACTCACGAAAGCCTGAAACCTTAGTAATATAAAAAAGTTCATCGATAATGATATCGGCCTCCTCTTCAGCTTCACGTTTCATGCAATCGATAAATGATTCACCAGATTCTACACGCCCTTTAGTCACTTGCCACAAAAGATAATGATCTTTAAGAGGATTGATTGGCTGAGATAACCAAATATTCTTTGAATCAGAGACCAATATTGTAAGGCTGAAATTATACTCACTGGCCTTATATATATCAAGCTTCTGACGAGCTTGATCCTTCAAATTTTTAGTTACATTTAATAAGGCAATAATCTTCAGAGTATATTGATCTACAGAAATTCCCTCATTTTTCATAGAATTAAGAGTGTTGAGATATGTAGTATATCTCGATCAAATTTGAATAATTTTCATGATCTTTTTGAACTTGAAGATACTGATTCATAATGATAAAGAATGAATCAAATAATTTCTAACCAGTTTTATCAAACTGATTAGAAATTTATAACGATTACTTGATAATAGTTAATTAGAATTATCCATCATGATCTCGTTATCACTATACATTAAAATTCGATCAGTAAATCTTACACCATTAGAATCGAGAGATCCGTCCTGGTGATGAATATATGAATTTGAATCGAAATCTTGAACATCAAACAATGGATTCTGGCATGGTGTACAATACTTGGTCTTTCTAAATAAACAACAGTTTTCACAGTAATAAGGTTTCGGCTTGACAAATTCTTTGTTAGTTGTATGAGCCGATGAATCGGTAGAAGGAGTTTCTGATCAAAGTGTCTCATTATCAGATTCATGATTGTTATGTGAATGATTAGACTAATATCGTTGATGGTGATATTTTTAGATAAAGCAAATTGGCCTGGAACGATTTCTGGTTTATACATTTCGACGAACAAGTATGATTTGTGACTTATAGCGAAGACTATCAGTATGAAAATTATATTCGTTCGTTTTAAAATCAAGAAGATTGTTTTTTTAGTAATGGCAGCATTTTTGGTTATGCAAATAAAATTCTATCAGGTTCACATAGAACTAGATAGAAATAATAATAATTTTATTTATTTAAAATTAATAAAATGATGATAGTTTAATTATGATAAAATTGAAATAAATTCATTAAGAATTAGCTTCTCTCGCTTCGAGGAATTTTTCATTCATGTGATCTTTGAGATCAGAAATCTGGTCTTCCAACTGACATTCTAAAGCTTTGGCCACTCATTGAGAGATCGTAAAATTAGTTTTTTTCCAAGTTTGAATTTCAAAATATTTAAAATGGTTCCTGTTAGTGTTACAAATTGTCAAAATTTTTTCAATCGATTAGTTGGTCAATATTTTTTCAGTTGATTGCAACTAATCGATAGTTGCAACTGATTGATTAATCGATTAGTCGATTAGTTGCAACTGGTCAATTAATTGATTAATCGATTAGTTGATTAGTTGCAACTAGTCAATTAATCGATTAATCGATTAGTTGCAACTAATTCATTAAATAAATAAATAATTTTTCAATCGATTCTTTAGTCGATTAGTTGCAACTAATCGATTAGTCGACTAATCGATTAATCGATTGGTTAGTATCTAAAAAGTTTAGTCGATTAGTTGTCAACTAACCAACTAATCGATTAAATTCAATTTCAATTTGTATCACTAGTTCCTGTTAGTAGGAAATCATTTCTCGATATCCTTATAAACCTCAACATGCGCATACTGATAGTGTAAAAGAGCACGCATAAATTCTAAACGTTCTTCTTTCTTGGGGTAGGCTTTCTCAAAAGCCTGCATATTAACTTTCTTAGTAATCTCAGAACCCTTAGAATTTAAATAGTAATTAAGCTTGCTCTCAGTCGCGGTCACGTGCTTACTAGAAGGCAAAGATGATATTGGTTCTTCAACCTCTTCAATAGTATGTTTAGGTTTTGACATTTTTTGAATATATAATTGTAAATTATAAGATTAAAAGATGAATCAAAAAAATCTTTAACCGGTGTCTATGAAGCACTAGTTAGAGATAAAGTTTACAAAATAATACAAGAAAAAATACTAAACAATAAAAAAGATAATAATTGGTGTTTGCCCGAATTAGCTGTAAAAATAAAATTAAAATAAGCTTGCTCATCATCTGTTCGATATCCAAATAAGTAGTGTTAATTATTGTGAACACTTTAGATGCCTCCTGGATCGGTTTAAATGATTCCTTGTCATGTTGTAAAAGATCGGAAAGAATGGTAAGCGGATCGAGATTGGTTTGTTGAGATCGTCTTTGAACCTAAGTTTCAAGATCAGAATCTAATAAGATCTTCACTTCAGCATTAGGTAGAATCCTAGTCATAGCATCACGGCTCACAACAACGTATTTCTTACCAACTACCATCTTTTGGATAATTCTGTTAATGATGCCTCACAACGCCTTGTTTTTAGAGAGCAAAGATGCTCTATTACCAATAAGAAGTTTATTCTCCTGATTATTATCATCATCAAACATGTTTAAAATTGTTAAAGCATCTGAGCTATCAATAAAAAAATTAAGAAATAAAGCTAAATTATTATCGTTAATATTTTTATAATATTTTGCATAGTAGTGATAAAAGCGACTACTATCAATAAACTTAAAGTTGTGCTGGCAAGTGAATTCCTGGCCAATCATGAATTTACCAGTAGCAGATAACCCATTAATAGCGATATTGAATTGATTTGAAAACATTGTTATGCTGGCTGTTACATAAAAAAAATTCTAATCGGTGACAAGCACTAATTAGATGTTTTTATTAGTTGAGTAAAATGTTAATATATATGCATTAGATATGAGTTATGAATAATGGGCACGACAATCGCGAGCCAGATGCCCACTCTGATTACAAGTATAACAAACAAGTTCAGGGCATTGATATGCAAAATGACCATTCTTTTGACACCGATAGCAATTTTTTATATGTTTTTGGTCTCCAATATGAAATTCATTATGCCATTGTTTATTGAGATATAAGATATAGGCCGAACCCTTTACCATTCTCTTACAATCATGAACAAGATTTGTAATATCGGATGTATACCATTTATATTTCTCATATTGAGTATAGTTACCGAACTTATCCTTCGAACCAGCAGGCTATGTAAACTCACATATGAAAGCACAATCACATTCGCCCTCAAGTTTTTTACATGCCATGCAGCATCAATGCTTGTAAGTTCAATTATAATTCTAACAAATACTCTGATTTAAAGGAGGTTGGTAATCATGCATCATATTGATGGAACCAACATCATTCGCCTTCATAAATAAAGAGATCAAATCAAGCATAGGATCAATGGTTAAAAGATTGTTAATTGAAGAAAAATCATCATAAATATTTTTTGATGAGGTATTATGGGTATCTGAGGAATTACTATTGTCATCATCTTCATAAGAATAATCAAAATCGGGCCAATAATTTTTGTTAGATGTAAAATGATTATTTTTATTAATTTTAGACAAGAAAAAATACAAAAGATACTGAGAATACTTAAATGCAAGAAAATAAGAAAATGAATAAAACAAAATCAAAAATGTCAAGAATAAAGTCATGATGATTAAGATTACAGAGAAAAAATTCTACTCGGTATAAATGCATACTGAGTAGAAATTTTAATTGAACGAAGGAGATTGATAATGATATTCTGGACTAGCACTAGCTACCAACTTCTTAATATGATCATTAATCGATGAATTAATTTCAATATCGAGTTTATTGGTTCCTTCTACTCATTTATCCAAATTTCTTTTTAGCTTTTTAGGCTGTTTGAGTATTGTCTGGCTAAACTCTTGAATCAACTGTGATTCATTCTTGTAAGAGGTAGTTAGACCAGAGTTAAAGAATTTTAACCAAAAAAAAATTTCATAGTCAAGTTTTAGGTAATGAAAACGCTTCTTGATAATCATCAAGAATCCTTTCTTATTCATGTTTATCAGCTGATCGGTTAAGGAAAGCTTCTTGTCGGCTGACTGAATGAGCTTAAA